CAATCCCACCACCAATCCCACCACCACCACCACCACCACCACCACCAGCACCACCACCACAACCACAATCATAACCACAACCACAACCACAACCACAACCACAACCACAACCACCACCAGCACCGACAGCGCCAACACCACCAACACCACCAACACCAGCAAGCCAACCAACACCACCAGCGCCTCCACCACCAACACCAAAAACACCGCCAACACTACCAGCACACCAGCGCCATCTTCATCAGAACCGATCCCCTCCCCAACAACAGCAGCACTAACACAAACAACACCAACCCAAACACAGCAACAGCTAAGCAACAACAGCAACACGACAACTTGCCTTGCTCCTATCTCTGTCAGTACCCGGAACCCGTTCCGGAACCTGATGCCCGCGTGTATTCTAGCCAAGTGTGGGAGTGTGGGAGGCAAAGCCCTGCCACCAGCCAGGCTCGCTGGCCCCGGGGGGGTGCGGTAAGTTCAGATTTTCCTGGATCTCACGGATTTGCCTTTTTCAGGTTACGGCCCTTGTCGTTATGGTTCAGATGCCAAAAAATGTAGGTGCCAAAGAGCATAGCTTCTCTGCAGAGTAGGATGCAGTGTCTGAACCCAACAACGACAACGGAACTCATGCACTTTTATGGTTCGTCCATGTCGTCATCCGACGAGGGTGTCGGTGCCAGAGGTTGCGAGCTTTGTGAGTTTGATCGCTGGACAAGGTTCAATATCAAGTTTAGCACTTGGAGGCCAATCCGATTTCAGACTGAATGATGTGGAAGTGCGGGACGGATCTGATCTTTCGAACTAGTCATCGGAGCAGCATGTCCCGCAAGGTGGAGTGTTTTTGCCTGGAGTGTGAGACAGCCCAAGCCATTTGCATTGCAGGCGCAGACGCGGCGCTACGAGGCTTCCGACCGTTTGCCAAGGGTCCGAAGATTCAGCCATAAACTGCATCTAGAACCCTTTGCCTGGCGCCAGCGCCCTTACGCATTCCCAAAAAGATCCTTGCCACGATCTCTTGACCCACAGCCCGAAGAACGGCCAGCCCTAATCTCCTTAGCTTTGAGCTTGAACTCTGAAGTCTTTGACCTTCCGGTTTTCGAGTCTCGAGCTCTCACGACAGCTTCGGGGATGGTGCTATCCCCGAAACGGTGACGTGGCATCAGCTGCAAACGGCGGGGACGAAGCTCTGATCTTGGAAGCCAGAGCCGCCTTGCCACTGCTCTCAGACTCGCATCGGAAGAGCCACAAGCACGGCTAGGACGGCTGGGTCTCCTGGGCTCCAGGTGCAGATCCGTGACACTCTCCCGATGACACGCAGTCCTTTTCGAGTCTCGTCTGGTCGGCAGGTGAGTCTCCGATTTCCTCTTGCGGCGGTACTTACACGACGGTTCATGGATAGTGGTAAGTAGGGTTATTAATAAGGTAAGTATGCTCTAAGTAGTTTAACCATACCAAAGGTGCGGATCGCCCCATTCATATGACTCCTTAACAAAAAGATACTCATGTACATTGAAGGATGATGCAAGCTGGGACAGCCGTGCATGGCCGCTCTTAGAGAAACATGGTCGGACCAGTCTGGTCGTTCTGTGGTGCACAGCATTCGAGAAGCTTCGCGCGAAAGTTCGATGTTAGCTGAAGCTTTGAAGCGCAATCCTGTTTTTTGTAGGTATTTTCCCGGCGATGTTGTGGTCTCGACATGTCCTTAGAGCATTGAACACAGCCAAATGGTCTTGAATCCGATGCCAGAGCTAGACCCCAAAGGCTGGACGTGAATCCTGAAATGGGGGTTTCCGAAAACAGGGGACCCTAATATAGTACCCTAAATAATAGGATCCCTATTATAAGGACCCCAAAATAAGGTACCCTAATTTTCTGAAACTCCCAAATGTTGAGCATCAACTCCTGGAGGTCAAGCAGAAGGGAGGCCAGCGCCGCTTCTGCCAGAAGTGCGTCAAGTGATCCTGGCTCTGAGTTGACGGGTATGGGCCGGGCTCGTAAATCCGTAAACTCAAGCCCCACACTTGAAAAACCTATACCGCAGGACCCAAGCCCCAAACTCGACGCCCTCAAGAACTCCGAAGGTAGAGGTATAAGCCCCGCGCTCCTCCGTTCAGGGTTGATCAGATTGAAACGTTGAGGATGGGGCTTTCAGGGTCAGGGTTTTGGGGTTAAAATTGGGGGTGTATGATTCTGGCTTTGGCCTTGAGGACGTTTGAAGGTTGGGGCCCGGGAAGGCCTCAAAATTCGCCGCCCTTTTGAGGTTTGGGGTTGAGGTCGAGCTCGGTTTGGGGTTTAGGGCTTGTGGGATTGGTGTTCGGGGCCCGATCCTACATGTAAGCTCAACGTAGACCTTCTACACTGAAGTCTGCCTTCATACTTTCAGACCTGCCGTTAAGCACCCCGGAATCCGATCCGGTCAGCCCTAAACCCAAGTCTCAGATCAGATACCAATTTCTTAAAACCATTCGAGACTTTGGGGGTACAGCGTTGCGAGTTGGGGTCTTTGGGGTTTGGGTTTTGTGGCTTAACCACTGTGCTTGAGGGTACAAGGGCCAAAGACCCTCAACCCTAAACCCTAAACCCCTAAACCCTAAACCCCTAAACCTTGAACCCCTAAACCCTAAACCTCTAAACCGTCCCTTTGCAACGGAAGAAGTTTGTCCGGCACCAGACTTTGCGACCCAAAAATTCTCGAAGAAGTTGTCGGCCCCACACTTGAATTGCTGCCTCCTCAATCTATTGGGTTTAGGGTTTAGGGTTTAGGGTTTAGGGTTTCGGGAATGGGGGCTTTGGCGCAGCACGGACATGCATGCTGATGTACTGACACATCGTCCGCACGCCCGAGAAGTTGTCTTGTCGAGGTACAAGCCAGATAGATGCGGCGCCCTGAGACATCTGCAAAGGTCAGGTTCCGTGATCTTGTTGCGTGAAAGCTTTTCACTTCATCGCATGATGTTGTTTGTCACATGCACATCTTGTGTAGGGCTATCAGGGCTGCAAGAAGATCCTTTCTGGTGTTCGAGTTGTCAGAGGGCTCAACAAGCTCGTCGCCCTGCACCCAGCAACGGTTTGGCGGTGCCCTAAACCCTAAACCCTAAACAAGGTTCCTCAAAAGCAGCAAATGTGCGACACGTTTGGTCCTAAACCCTAAACCCAAAACCCCAAAACCCTAAACCCTAAACCGTTGTGCGCAGCCGTACACCTTCATCAATGGTTGCAGTGAGTTGACCTGCTCCCGCTGCAGTGCAATGTGTGGAACCATCTGCTGCGTCTCCAAGTACATCCATGGTGGGTCGTCGTCGTAGTCGTCATGAAGACTAGTAGAAGAGCAGAAACCAAGGTAGTGGGGGCGGCGGCAGCAACAAAAATAGCAACAGGAGTGAAAGCAATACTAGCACTCATGAGGATCATAATTGCTTTCCAACGTGGCAGTGGTAGCTATACTGGCACTCAAGAACAGAAGCTGAAAGAACATCGCCGAGGTCATCACTGCAGGGTCTGCAAGTGCGCCCGCTGTGCTGAAATGGGACCACGTTTGGAGAAAGTGTCTGTTCCTTCTTGTTTTCAACCCAGGTCGTGGAGCTTCATCACATGTACGTAAAGTCTGGATGAGCATGGTCCCTAAACCCTAAACCCTAAACCCTAAACCCTAAAGCTACTGTCAAGATGAGGGATTTCTTATTCTGCCCTCTCTGCGCAGCTCGTGCATCCTCCGCATGGACCACCACTGCCCGTGGATTGCGAATTGCGTGGGATTCAGGACCGATCCAGCCTAGGATTAGAGTCGAACACTTAAAACTTAAATGCTGTCGTTCCCGTTGTTCTTGGGACGCGCGAGTGCAAGGCAAGACGAACCAGGAGTTTGGCTGAGTTGTGATCAAGCGAGTAGCCGGAGAAGCCCCGCGAAGGAACCACAAGTACTTCTTCCTTCTGGCCCCTTGGATGCCATGTTCGGATCTTGCAGCGCATCCCAAGTCCTGCTGAACGCGTTGTGTATGTTTAAAGATATTTTGCTTGATGTGTCGGCGCATCGTGCCATGTGTGGGTAGACAAGTTTCCAGCTTTCTTGAAGATTGGAATCAGCTGCACGCTAGCATGTCCCAAAATCATATCTCCACACCGGTAACCTTCTGGTCAGGATTTTGGCCTTGTGGGAGACAAAACATGCAATGAATGGGTTCCTGATGCAAACCAAGGCCATCGTGATTTTCAGGCGACTAGAGTAGCGTTATTCAATGCATTTTGATGGTAACTCATAAGCAATAGCAGTGATCATCGTAGAGGACAGTAGGAGAGGGTGGTACCGTTTTCACAAGCAAATAGATGAGCAGCAATGTTCATAGCAGTAGTGGATCGAAGAATCCGAAGACCCAAAACACACAGTCAGTGTGTGTGTGTGTGTGCGCACAAGAGTCAGGATAGATTGATAGCCATGGCGGTCGCAAAACAGAAGCAGCGGCAACTACGGTAAATACGCACTGGCGATAGCACTGCTATTGGCGAAAGCAACAGACCCAATACTTCTCAGGTTTTCTACGCTGCCCTGAGCTGTTGGTTCATTATAGCCACTATGTCGACCAGTCTGCCCGGTTGCCCAGCGGGGCACAGGGTTGCCAGCGTCTCTTCAACTTGACATGAATATGACATAACATGAACATAAAGATAAGATAATGTAGTGTACCTGAAGAATACTATTATGCAATACGATATAAATTCAACATATGATGTACTTCGTTCGACGGTGTTGTGCTCTGCGGTCCATCCCTCTTTCTCGGAACCCAGTTGACAGATTCATGTCTGCTATGTAGTCTTGAGCGCTTCGGGTTTAGGGTTTTATGGGGTTTAGGGTTTAGGGTTTAGGGTTAAGAGGTTTTGGGGCTTTCGGCTTTGGGGTTTAGGAGGTGCAGTTTAGGATACACGGACTTGGTGCAGGGTTAAGACTTTGGGAGCATGTTTAGTTAGTTTTGATGGTCATAAGCTCCACATCTGTTGGATTGGGCAACTGGCCGGCATCCACAACCAAGAGGTTACCCATGATAGCCTGCATGTGAGAGACGGCTCGAAGGACAATGGGATTGGTTAACTCGCGGTGAAGATAGACACTGCCAATCAATTGCTTCGCAATTCACAGCTTTCATGTGCGAATTTTCGTAGCAGCCCAAGAGCCCGAGAAGCTTATTCTAAACTCCTTCCCCCGAAATCAAAGCCCTGGAACGCTGTCCCTAAGGCACAGGCCCTGACTCACTCAACCTTCCTGCTGCAAGCCTTATAACTCATACTTAACTCCTGAACCAAATCCAAAAAAGCCCCAAGCTCCGACCCTAAACCCTAAACCCTAAACCCTGAACCCAAACCCCTAAACCAAAGAAATATGAGCAGGATCCGGGCCGGTGAGGACGAGATGGATCCGACTTCCAGAGCAGACCTGGCCTGCTGTTTCTTCCGGGGGGGCTAGTAGCAAGAGTTCTGTTTAATTTGGGTACTGCCCCCCTCAGTAACAGTCGGGTAATATTTATATTGTGGATATATTAGGCCCTTAATAGTAGCCCTATTATAGACTGTTACTGTATGGGGGCAGTACCCAGTGTTCAATGATGCAAAACAAGGCTACGGCCATAGCAAGGGTGTGGGGATCTCAGATTTTGGGATTCGTGGTGTTTAGGATGCTTGCAAACGCTTCGCGTTGTCCGCCTTGGGCCCGTCGCGGGTGAAGAGTAGTCGCCACACCAGGGCCCAAAAGGCAGGTTCAGAGTGTCCGGGATCGTGGGAAGGACGTGGGGGCAGTTCATCACAGGGGAGGGGGGGTGGCCGGGGTGGGATTCCCGGAGAGGAAGGAGGGAACCTCTCACCGCCGCGGCGAGGTGGAGGCGAATTTGTGAGTTGAGGGTTCCAGGTGTAGATTTTACTTAGTTTAGGGTTTAGGGTTTAGAGTTTAGGGGTAAGGTTTTTGCTGTTGGGGTTTGTCGCTGGGGCCGCTAGGCGTTGGTGCATCAGGGTTGCAGGCTTCAGGGCTTAGGTTAGGGTTTAGGGCCTAGGATTTAGGGCCTAGGATTTAGCGTCTAGGATTTACTGTTAGGGTTTAGGGCTTAGGGTTTAGGATTTGGGGTTCACGGTTTAGGGATTTTTGGGCTTCTTGGTTGGAGGGTGCCGCACCTCGGAGCATGAGGCGTGGCTGGCGTGAAAAATGAGAAGCCCCAGCGGATAGGGGCCTTAAAAGATAACCATTACTATTCTGGGGGTTCCTTATTATGGTTAGAGTAAAGTCTACCACACTGGCTGTAAAGGTTCACGCGACCTAGAAACTAGGTTCGTAGGTAAGGTGCCTACGCTTATAACTAGTTCTAGTCCCAGTTTAAAGTACTTATAGCTGGGCTTCAAAACCCTAAACCCTAAACCCAAACCCCCCTAAGTCCCGTGATCCTCCAAGAGCGGGCTTTCAGGGTGAAGGTTGTAGGAAGGGGCTCTGGGGGGTTTAGGGTTTAGGGTTGGAAGGTTTAGGGTTTAGGGTTTAGGGGGTTGGATGTGTTCTTGCGCGTGGCTTTAGAGTCTTTGGGGTGTCTCCGGATGCAGGATCTAGGGTGATACGCTGATTGTGGATCTTGGGGTGGAGGGGCTGTAGAGTCCAGGTTTCGGGATCAGAGATTTTTGGGTCTTAGGGTTGAGGTGTGCTAGAGTGTAAGGGCTACGGTTTCAGATGGAGTTGAGGCTTCAAAGGTCTTCAGCGTTTGACAAAGCATTGCGGCAGCAACCAGCTCTAAAGAGCCGATCAGGCAAGTTGCTGAATGCGACCCTGCACTCACTCTCTCACTCACTCACTCACTCACTCACTCACTCACTCACTCACTCACTCACTCACTCACTCACTCCAGCTTCATGTTTGACGATTGGCTTGCCCACCATTCCGACCAGTAAATGCAGTGTTTCGCCGTGCCGCTATCACATCCGCCTTCCCTCATCTGGTCCTTCACAGCCGCCACGCATCACCACTCCAGAGCGGAAGTATAGCGGTACTTCGCCTAGACTTTCCATTTCTGTAGCATTCTGTAGCACTGTAGTCACTGTAGTCTATATCTTCACCTCCTTGCCCGAAGCACCTGATGTCATCTTCTTTCTTGGGGCGCCCTTCTATAAGCCTGCACTTGAGGCCTTTGGAGGGGCTCTTTCGTAGGCCATTGCGGGCTGCGGGCCGCTTGAAGCCCGCTTTAGTCACGGCTTCGCTTTGTTTGCGTCTCGCCTCCAACCGTTCTCACATGAAGAAGTAGCGGTTCCTACCCAAACATTCCTACAGCAGTCTTTCGGTCTTTCGGGTTCAGGCAGCAGGTTTCCACGCCTGCAAGCCGCAACTCTTTCAATCCGATCCGACACGTCCCCATTGAACAACAACACAACTCCAAGCATCCTTGAAGTCCTGGACCATTCCCCTAGACTCCCGAATCCTAGAGCCCCAGATCCCTCAGGTTCACCTCGAAGTCCTTGAATCCCAAAACCTGACACCCTCTCGCCAGTTCGCTCTCGTCTTTGGGATGACCCTGGCGGTCATCATGGGCGCCTTGCCTTATGCCTTTCTTGGTTCCTCAAAGTCATTGCCTAATACTGCGGAGCCTTTCACAAGCCACGGGTCCCAGATCCTTGCTTCCGGGTGTAAATGTTGCTTAAGATCCATGCCGGTGCAATATAGAAGCGCAAATGAATACCAAAGTTATTCCTTAGGGCTTAGGGTTCCTTATTGTAATTATACTATACAGGAGTCCAACACCCTTCTCTAATTATTCAGGCCTCTATATATTAGCCCCACCCGGCTTGGGAGACATTGACATGGCTTCGCGGCGTCATCCGGGCTTAGCGCGAACATTCAAAACCTGCCCGCCAAAACCCGTAACTTACTAAGGCCAGACCCTAAGCCCATACTCCAAGCACAAATGCCGACAACCATTGAGATTGAATTCTAAATCCGAAATCGCAAGCTCAGGTACCCTGCTCGGTGGATTTTTCCTTTTCCACAGCTGGCCAGGGGTCTCAGGGCAACGCCATTAGGCCTTGTGTTTAGGTCGTGGACATGCAGCGTGCAAGTCGGGAAAGCAGGGATTTTTCTTGGCCATCTCGTATCCTTATCCCTCCTCTTCCGGACATAGACTCTAAACGTCTGCAGAAGGTCAGGGATTTGTTTTCATCCTGCCGGCTCTTTCCGAGGCTTCTTGACACAAATAAATCCGAGTCCTCTCCGCAGGCCCTCTTATTTCGGTTGTGGAATAGTCACCTGGGTTGGTTCACCTTGCGGCAACATCCAGGCTGGCGACCTTGGCGCTCACGACGATTGAGTTTTGCAACTCGGCAGAGACATCAGTACAGAGGTGCTGCACACCTGCCCAGCCCTGATCGAGAGCAGCAAAGCTACTCGGGCCTTTGCTGATTCGCCCCTTATCTTAGGCCGTAGACTCGAGGCAGCTCCCCTAAATTGCCAGCAACATCTGCAGCGTCTTCTCGTCTAGGCGAGTACATTTTTCGTCGTTGCTGCTTCTGATGACAATGATGATGAAGATGCTGTTCTTGCTGCTGCTGCCGCTGCTGATTATGATGATGATGATGCTGCTGATGATGATCATGATGATGATGCTGATGCTGCTGATGATGATGGAGGTGAGAAGGGCGGCTATGTCAATGACGATTATGATGATGAGGAGTACAAGACCATGGATGTTCGAAATAGTGCTTGCGTAAAACAGGGGTCAGTGTTAGATACTCAAAATCATCAGTGCAGATATCTCCGGTGGCGATGGGTGATCGATGTAAGGACGTTTTGGGCTCGGATCAGTGTCAGGCCCCATAGGCTCGTGGTTTTATGGTTTCTAAAGGCTTTGTGGCTTGAATGGCTTGCGCCCAAAGCTGAACCGGAGTTGAAAACGCGGTTGCATCTGAGGTGCACAAACCTTAATTCCCGGACCTTACAGCCCCACGACCCCGAACCCTAAACCCAAAACCCCAAAGCCCCGAACCACCCTTCCTCTGGGCCAGGCGAGAAGACAGGCCCTCATTCGAGGCCTGAACACTGCGCATTCAAGCCCATGTGAGAGGATGCGTCTGGGTTTGGGGTTTTGGGGGTTTTAGGGTTTTCGGGTCTGAGTTTAAGGTTTTGGCGGTTTGAGTTTGTGGTTTAGGGTTTAGGGCTCAGGATTTTGCCGTTTCTAGATCAAGTAGATTTGGAGTTTAGGGTTTAGCGCCTAAGGTTTTGGGCTTTAGCTTAGGGTTTAGGCTTTACGGTGTCGAGGAAGGAACTTGCACCTAAATAATTACCTATGTTATTTCGGGGTTCCTTGTTCCAAATATGGGAGTTTCACACAGTAAGGGGGACCTTATTTTGGGGTCCTTATAATAGGGATCCTACTATTTAGGGTACTTTTATTTGGATCCCCTATTTTCGGAAACCCCCAAATATAAATATACCCCGAAGCAGAAGTCTGTGAGGTCAACGTCTCGGGACTCGAAGTTTCCCAATTGCTTCCAGTGGGCCCCATCGGACCCCGTTGGGCCTCATTAGTGTTTTGGGGTTTCTAGGGTTTTCAGGGTTGAGGGTTTTAGGGTTTTAGGGGGGTTTTAGGGGGGTTTTAGGGGTTTAGGGTGTAGGGTTCAGAGTTTATCTGTGATCCGAGTCCCAAGCCAAGGTGACCTCCAGTCCAACAGCCCGTGACCGTTTTGGAACTGTCGCGGGAGACGGTCCATTGTTCTGGATGTCTCGTGAAAACAGAGTCGATTCATGTGTATTCCTGAAGATTAGCACGATCACTCAGACAGCCGTGAAAACACTTCTTGGACCCTCGCCAGTCGCGCAGTCAGCTACGATCAGGGCCTCTTTGAGTGACGGCGGCATGTGTTTTTGTCGCTGCAGCTCTTGATCGGGGTTTCGGCTTGGCGACATGTTGAGGGTCTGAGACTTGTGGGAGATGGTGTGAGGCCACGTGGTCTTAAGCTAAACATCATGATGTGACGATGGCAGACCAACTGTCCGGATGTATAGCAGCAGCCACAGCTGTGCGAGGGCATAATTGAGGTATGGCTCTTTGCTGTTGGCTACCTTCTTCATGATTCGAGAGCCTGCGTGCGTTGTCTCTGTGATGTTGCCCATGGCAGGAACCTTCGCGCAGTTCTCGGGCCCTATGTGATTCTGTGGCTCAGCGCTCAGCTGGTTTGGGTCGCTGTGGAGAGCAGCATCAAGCTAATCGAGAGGGCAAGAACCACAGAATGCCGCTGTCGGCTGTCGCTTCCGCAAGCTTGCGACACCTTGTTGGCCCAGGTTGTTGCCCCTGTCTCCACCCAGCGGTGATGGGCTCGCATTCTTTGCACAAGTGCAGGGCAGCACAAAGGACGCTGGATTAAGTACGATGCTCTTCTAGGAAGTGTGGATGCCTGCACTCCTGCCGACTCCAAAACCTCAACATCGGAAGTTAAAACCCTCTGCGCGACGCGGTTGCCCTGCCGCACATCTCACGAGAACATAGACCCTGCAAGCTCCAAGCCGACCAAACTGCGAGGACACCGCTGATGATGCGCGTGAGACAGCGCCTCTTCTCGAAGGCGTGCTCCGTTAACTCAAAGTGTCAGATTTTGCCGCGGGGCAAGGTTTCGCGTAGCGTCCTGTGAGAGTTTGACTCAATGGTTTGAGGTTTCCTGGTGGTGATTCCCAGGTTCACTGCCGCAGGGTCAGGCATCCCAAACCTCAAACTTCCGTCTGGGCTTGCAAGAGAAGCCCTAAACCTTTGCCAGATATTCGGAAGCCGGCGTTATGGAGTCCGCGAGCCCCCAAGTAGGCGGCACAACCACCAAAAAGAGGGGACACTGTCGCTGTGCTCGAGACACCTGTCTTCTTGTCCCAGAAACCCGAACAGTCAAGCGGCTTGCACGACCTGTCTCTACAGTGGGTGGTTGCAGACGTTGTCTTTTCTGGTCAAGTTTCGGTCCGCAGAGCCTTGACACGAGATGTCCATCCTTACGCATGCAGAAACTTGGTTTCGGAGATCCGTTTGGGGTAGGCGTTTGATCACGGCTCTTCAGAGCTATCTGTGCAAGGCTTTGCAGCTGCTGGCGAGGTGCAGTCGCAATGTGTGCTCGTGAAGTAGTGTGAGGCAGGCATAAGGAGGTGTCGTTCTACCTGGCAGCCCGTGTGCTCTTCTTGCTATACTGATGCCACTCGCCTGTTGGGAGCACCGCAATTATGAATTGTGATGACTGTTCCCCAGACCGTGGTGTAACGCTGTGTGGTTCTTATCTTCAGAAGCTCAGGCAAAAGGGATTAGGCGCACATCTTCAACTCAAGTCTCGACCTTCTCACCGTCCCACGGGGCTGCATCTACAGCACACCGAGTTCATGGTAACGCCCCGAGAATTTGGTGCCCCCAAATGTGGTGAATCGCGCTCCTGCAGCAGCACCGTGAATTTTTTGGATGCGGTGTTCTCGTCTTGAAATAGTGCTCCTGCCCATCCCGTGCTCATCCTTGCTCTGAAATCATGTCAAGTCCCTAAAATAAAGAGTGCGCCACCAGTCGAATCGTTTTCCCGGCGCAGTCCCCTGCATTTCCGCCTCCCGAACTCGTGCTAGCACCATGGAGCAATACCGGGTGCATTTTCTGGTGTGCCAATTCAAGTTGGCACGTATGAGCTGTTCGAAGCGTTCTTGGGTGTGTAGGTCTTGGACTGCTGGGTGCTAACTCGCTGTTTGCGGTCTGCGGTGCAATTTTGAAGATTATTGCTGTGTGACGTTGTTTGTGCTTCAGGCGAGCATGGCGAATACTACCGTGGTAGCATTGCATAGCCTGCCAAGAGTAATCATCATCTCGTAATCATATGTTTCAGCGCGAAGAGTACTCCTGCATGCTCCCGTAGGTCGGGTACGAAATAGCCTACCGGTATCGAGCATACAATCAACCGGCCTCTGGCCTGAATTTTGCCTACGTTTTGTTTGGGTTTACATGTTCAACGGACTTGTCGACCAAAATCGGCCAGGAGGGCGAGGTGAACTCTGAGGCCAAGCAGGCGCCACGTGATGGATCGGAAGGGACACGTATCCTACATATATATATATATATCCCGAACCCCCCCCCATATAAGATCAGATAAGTACATATCTGCAATTTACAACTGGGGGTCCATGGAAAGGGCGCCGGGCCGCGATACTGTGGCTAACCCCCGCACCTGGCCGATGGTCAGTCGGGGGAGAGCTCTACAGTAACTGAACATATTCGATTTTGTTCCCTTAACTTAAAGCCGCGGTTATAGGGGATTGGTTTAGGATTTTGCAAACGGGTGGGCCCGCAGGAAGCGGGTAGGTCCGGCTTGAAATGTTGGGACCCCTAGGCCTGCAACCTTTACTAGACTAGAAACTGGGAAGTGATGCTTATGCACGATCGCCTGGCGAGTCCGTTCGTGTTCATGCGTGGTCATTGCGTCACTTCAGTTCATCCGTCGTCCACATCCTTATTTCGGGCAAAATTTTCGAACCGCTCGAAGTGTACATGGCCTACATCTCATAGTTCCTCTTTCTTCGTTGAATCTGTTGGACGCGCTTCGAAAACCTTAGAGTCACATCTCAAAAGTTCTTCTGCGCGTCCAACATGCCATGCAACATGCTATCTCATATGGGTGGTTGTCAAAATTATGGTCCCTTTTGGGGTCCTTATTATAATACGGCACCTATTATTTAGGGTACCCAAAAAGGGACCATAATTTTGACAACTACCCATATCCATTGTTCTAGTCATGCGTTAACCTTCCCAGCTCTGAGAAGAGACCACAGCCGCGGTTCAACGACGCATTTTTACAGCACCGAATAGCGGTTTCGGGCACCCAATGATTGCTCTCCTTTGCTCCTGAGCTCTCATGCTGTTGCTGCATTATCGTTAAAGTGTGTTGAGAGCTCAACCGCCCAGCCGCGCATCTGCACAAGTGGATCACCAATCAGCACTGAAGACCATGTCACGCATCACCGCGCAGCACCCAAGATCGGCAAAACATGATAAGAAGTTGAAGGAGTCCGTTGTTTTGTCCGGGATCGTTGGGCTTTGGTCGCTGTGAGGTCCTTGTTCTGTTGTTGTTGTTGTTGTTGTTGTGGTGACAGCGAATCATTTTTTCATTGTTGCCACGCCATCGTGACAATTGGAAAGCCCTACACCTTGATGTGGGGACTGCTTGCTCGCAGTCAAACAGTATTTAAGGTGCGCAGGCCATGTAAGAATATGCACACATCGAAAGCACCATTGCCTTGAGTTGCGTGAGGTGTGTCATCAACATTAGCAGCATGCGCATAGCTATCATCATGTCATATGCCATCGTCACCATCATCATGATCACCACATTCATCATCTTCGTCATCTTCGTCATCTTCGTCATCTTCGTCATCTTCGTCATCGTCATCATCAACATCATCATCCTCATCCTCATCATCATCATCATCATAACCATCATCTTCGACATCATCATCATCGTCATCACCCTCCTCCTCCTCCTCATCATCATCATCATTATCATCATCATCATGATCACCATTATCATCTTCGTCATCTTCGTCGACATCATCATCATCATCATCATCATCATCATCATCATCCTCATCATGATCACCATCACCATTGTCGTCATCTTCGTCATCGTCATCATCATCATCATCATCATCATCATCACCGTCATCATCATCATCAACATCATCATCAACATCATCATCATCATCATCACCGTCATCATGATCACAAGCACCATCATCAGCAGTGTTACCTTGTCCTCGTTGGTATGGTGCGCGTGCATTTTTTCGATGCTGCTGCTCTGCTGTGGCTGCGGTGTGCCTTGCAGTCCTGATGATTACCATAATGCTTGCGATAATGATGACGGCAATGATGGATGCCAGTGAGGCTTGCACGCATTGCTGCCGTTACTGTCCCAGATGCATTCGGGTCATATCCATTATCTATTGCTACCACGACAATGCAGGCTGTAGATGGGAATTGTAAAGGTTGTGATGCTGGTGATGGTATAAGGCCGAGGTCGTGACACTGGAAGTGATCAAACACGGTATCCATGACACCCACTGGTGCCTGAACTTGCCTATCTGTACGTTTTCCTCCTCCAGCAGTGGCAGGGCTCCGACCCGGCAATTGCACCCGAGGCCCATGTCACTTGAAAGGATGTCGTAGTCTTGATTGTTCTCCTTTCACTGTTTGAACCCACTCTTGAGGTGTTCCGGATTTAGGGTTTACGTTTTGAGACTTGGGGCAAGGAGTTGAGGCGTTGAGTAATTGGGTGTTTGGGGGATCGAGTGAGGCGTGGAGTGATTGGGTCTTGGGGGATTGAGCGTGAAGGAAACGATTGTGCAAGGCTTTGGAGTGTAGGGCCTCGGGGTGCGTGGTGAGGGATAGAGTATGGAAGCTTAAATAAGTATCAATATTATTCCTTAGGACTCCTTATGAAAGTTATGCTATAAAGCTGAAATAATTATCAATATTATTCCTTAGGACCCCTTATGCAAGTTATGCTATAAAGGGAAGCTTCAATAATTATCAGTATTATTCCTTAGGACTCCTTTTTAAAGTCATGCTATAAAGGAGCCCTCAAGACCCAGTATTATTCCTCAGGACTCCTTATGAAAGTTATGCTAGAAAGGAGCCCTCAAAACCCAGAATCCCTAAACCCTAAACCCTAAACCCTAAACCCTAAACCCTAAACCCTGAACCCTCAAAACCCTAGCCTGATGTGGTTGGACCCGAGTGCAGCCTTCCTAAGCTTCAGCTGCCGGCTCAATATGGCGCCCACAAGCTTTGGTGTGTTTGGTTTAGGGTTTAGGGTTTATGGTTTAGGGTTTAGGGTTTAGGGTTTAGGGTTTGGGAGAGGTTGAGGGTTTTGGAGCTAAAGGTGAAAGAAGGGCTCGCGAGCTGTCCACGAAGTCGGGAGTTGGGATTCAAGCACTTGGAGTTCTGTAGACAGTTGTATCCAAAAGCGCAGGGTCCAGACTATTGGGCAGTCGGACAGAGGCATCAAGATTCGTGGGGCTTGCGGTCTCGGCCTCGTTGCGCCGCAGGTGACAGGTGCAAATGCTGCCGCTGTCTGAGGTAGCTTATGCTATAGGATGGGAAGCTGTAGGATGGCACTCTTCAAATCAGAGCAACAAGACGGCGAACTTGCCAGATTAGGCATGCCGAGCATTGCTGCCTGTGGTGAATCACGAGGGCCGCAGGTTGCGATGGCCGAAGAGAGCTCTTCAGGCCATTTGGAAGGAGATGAGAGCAGGATGTGTAGCAACAAGGCGTGATTTCGCTTTTTACTCTTGCTGTTGGCCTTCTTGTTCCTGTTGCCGCTTGCTGCCATTGCCCTTTACCGTTCCCATGGTCATCGTCATCGTCATCTTTGTAGTGGTGGTTGCAGTCGTCGTGGCCGTGGTTGTAGTGGTAGTGGTTGTAGAAGATGTTGCGGCTCTTGTGGTGGTTGTGGTGGTGGTGGTGGTGGGGGTTGCGGTTGCGGTTGCACTTGTCCTGGTTGTTGTGGTGGCTGTTGTGGTTGTTGTTGTTGTTGTTGTGGTGGTGGTGGTGGTGGTGGTCGTGGTTGTTGTGGCTGTTGTGGTTGTTGTGGTTGTTGTGGTTGTTGTGGTTGCGGTTGTGGTTGTGGTGCAGCCTCCCGAAAACAAAGTTGTGGTTGTGGTGGTGGTGGTTGTTGTTGTTCTGGTCGTCGTCGTCGTCCTTACTGTTCTTTTGATGGTTTGTCTGATTGTGGGGGCAAGATGGACTTTGCGCAAGCAGTCCGATGAACATTCGCAGCCATTGTTGCACCTTGCAGCCTGGGCTTGGAAGTGAAGCATAATGGCATAGTGCATAGTGGGTACTGGCAGCTTCATGTGCCTGTCAGTCGTGAATCCGTCGCACGAAGTGGAGCCCCGCTGACACATGCTGACACCTTGTGACCCTAAGTCATCTTGGGCGAATGTGAAGCTTGGAGAAGGGATGGCACGACGTGGGCCTGGCGACTGCCGGGGCCCCATGATTCTTTGGGCTCGCAAGCAACCCAGATTCCCTGCAAGATGCCAGCCATGTTTGAACAGCGGTAGGATGGGGACCTCTTCAGGGAGACACCGGCTTTCGAACTGTTAAGCACAAAGTACTAGACCAGCTGAAAGTCGAGGTAGCAACAGTTTCGGGATTGCGGCCGGCATACTCAGAACCTCTGCTGCAGCCACGTACGATGAACAAAAGTTTCGGCAGGCGTATGTGACTCGGACACAACACTTGTGTGTGAGACTTCGGGAGCGCAACATCTTCTCAAGACGGAGGCTACATCGGACAGAACTATAGGCCTTGATGCTTTTGGATTTCCAGGGTCGAGTCAGATCCATGTCGAAGAGTCAACCATCGCTGAGACCATTTCGGCAGCATGTGTCAAAGTGTTCCGTTCGCGTTAGTGGTGGAACTTCATGTAGCCATGGATCTGCAGAGAACGGTTGTTCAGCGAGAACATTCGCTGGCACAAGGCCTGTTCCTCCTAAGGAGGCGCTGGGTCAGACTTCTCCAGCTGACGGTGATATGCAGTTTTCCAGCTCTGGGCAGCACGACGACAACTGAGGATCCCGGAGGCGGGTACGGAGGCGGGTACGGAACTGTGGACCCAGCGGGCACGACCGCAGATCCAGGGGGCGGGTACGGTGGGACAACCTCCATAGCCGTGGCTGAAATCGGCGTTTGGGAAGAGATCGCATCAGCTTCCTCGGAACGGGGTTACGCTGCCGCGGCGTGGAGTCCAAGCCAGGAAGGAATGTACGTATTTGGAGGCGTGGGCCCAAGCGATACACTACTGAACGATCTTGATTTCTACAATGCAACCAAAGAAGGCTGGCAGCAGCCTGCACCGACTGGTTCTCCGCCTAGTGCTCGCTACGGTGCAAGTGCGGTTTGGGACCCTTCCTCGCAGCGCATGTATGTTTTCGGAGGGGGCGGTGGGAATGGAACGTCGTTTTTTAACGACCTTCATGCTTACAAGAGCCAGGATGATGCATGGGAGCAACTTTCTCCCAGTGGCACTCCGCCGAGTGGACGCTTCGGCCATTCGGCTGTTTGGGACCATACCGAAGGCCGTATGTATGTCTTTGGGGGCGCACAGCCACCATCCTTCATGAATGACATCAGCTACTACCATCGCCCGAGTAACTCCTGGCAGAGTCTTTCTCCGGGAGGAACCGCCCCAAGTACTCGCCATGGGCATTCTGCCGTATGGAGCCCGGATGAGAAGCGGATGTATGTGTTCGGTGGCTTGGGCGGCATGGACTCTAATTTTAGTGGGCGGAATGACCTCCACTACTACGACGCCGCCCTTAACCTCTGGCAGCAGGTCAATGCCACTGGTACACTGCCATGTGAGAGACTAGGCCACAGAGCCGTATGGGACACGAACGAGAACAAGATGTGTTTATTCGGAGGCATGAATGCCAGCATGGATGCCAGCGCATCCCTTAACGACCTCCATTGCTACAGTCCTTCGAACAACTGGTGGGAGGAGCTTTTCCCAATGGGCTCTTCCTCTCCGCCAGCGGTGCGTGCCTACCATTGTGCTACTCTCAGCCCTTCCGACGGCAAATTGTATGTTTTTGCCGGTGTCCACCCCAACGGCTTAATTGGTGATTTGCATACGTACCAGATGTTTATACCAACGACGACAACAACTACCACCGCAACCGCCACAATCACCACAACCGCCACCGCCACCGCCACCGCC